TAATCGTTATTACAATGTTTATTATATATTCTTCTTTATTTAAACTCAGAATACAAAAGCATGTAACAACTCTGGAGAGATATACCAAGATCAATATGTTTCAGGGTAATAATAAGCACATGATGTGAGAACAAAATTCTAATTTAAAACAAATCTACCTACCTGTAAACCATTTCATTAGGAGCTGAGTCATCAAAGGCATAATCAAAACGAAATGTTTGGTTTTCTAGGTACCGTGTTAAATCTACCTTTTGTTTTGGTTCATGTACCATCACAACATCTTTACTAGGGATTGTGATTACGTCAAGATCTTTCATTTGAGTTTCTAAAAGAACAAATGAAAATCAATGCCCAGAAACTTTACAGAATTTGCATTAATGTACAAAAAGGTAATGAGTTCCTCAAATATAAGTAGTGAGTTCTTATCCCACTCAATAAGAATATTTCAATAACAAAGTAAAAAAAAATCAAGATTTCTTAAAGCAAGAACCAGAAATGGCAACATTTCATACAGTAGTAACAAATCAATAGATTAACCATAGAAATCTGCAGAAAGGTTATATACAAATAAAATAATTTACACTGAACTGTCCCCAACCAATATGATTTTCTGCTATTCCAAACAGGATAAAAATCAACCTTTATTACAACTCAATAAACATCATACCTTTTTTATTGAGTGGTCGTTTCCTTACACAAACACATATCCTATGTTCATCAATCTAGAAAGAAAATATTGTATTTCAGTGATTATCAGTGTTATGTAAAACAATGAAGTCAATTTTACAACATTTCCTTCAGAGATTTTAGAAATTTATGTATGGCATAGATAGGATAAGCTTAAAAAAACCCCACAAATTAACTTGCACACATTTCAATAGAGACTCCCTTATTTTTTCTGTTGTATGGTAAACCATTAATAACCTTGTAGAGCATTAAGTTCATGTTAAGAAGCTGCCTTATTAACTTTAAGATGTGCTATATTAAACAAAGCAAGTGGTGTATTTTCAGGTAGATTATAGGGAAACTTGTTGGAAAAGATAACTATATAGACAAGAAACATGATTCCCAAGAGATTATTGAGCAAAATAATTGGAATATGCCAATTCTTACACATAAATACTTTTCATAAAATTTATGTTCCCAATGCTTGCCTTTTAAAAATAATTATTATAATGCAGGGATTAGCAAAGTATGGCCTGCAGGATTAATCCAGCCTACTACCTCCTTTTGTAATGTTTTACTAGAACAGTCATACCTATTCATTTATGTTGTCTATGGCTGCTTTCATACTACAAAAGCAGAATTGAGTAGTTGTGACAAATACCATATCATATGGTTCATAAAGCCAAAAATATTTGCCATCAGGCCCTTTTCAGAAAAAGTTTGCTAATCCCTTTCCTAAAGTATGAGCTCAGAGACAGGAAGTTACACAAAGGTAAGGGTAGCAAGGAAGGGTACCCACAGGGAGAGGTACCCAAATATATGGGATGTAAATGTTATGAACAACTATTAAATCCTATATAATACACCTGCTCAACACAAATGTGTTTTGTGTACCCAATACTACATTCTGTATATGCTAGGTCAGATGGATTATTTTTCATAAGTACCAATTACAAAAACGTTCCCTGTCCAATAAATTCTTATTCTTCAATAGGAAATGAATTGAGTAATAAGACAGAATACTTTCTGAGCACTAAATTTCTGGTCTATTGCAGTCCTCAACAACCATCACTTATAAAGCCAAAATAATATTAAAATAAGTTGGACAGTGGGATCTATAGCACAAACCAAAGAGGAAATAAAGGAAATTGGGTGTTCAGACTTAAGTCCTTTAATTATTGTTCTGTCTTACCAAAGACAGGGAAGGCTTTGCTTTGAAATGGACATCTCTGTGGGAAGCATGTCTGATACAATCAATTATGGAAGAGAGGCATAAATGTGGATGATTTCTTGACTTTTCTTAAAATGTAGGAAATGGGCACATAAGAAAGGAAAATTTATCTAGTAAATACAATGTTAATTTAGTTGGAATCAAACATGTTTTTATTTGAGTACAGAAGTCCAGAGCAATGATTTACAAAAAAAACTTACAGGATCTGCTGTTGTTAATGGTCTATAATCCAAACTTCCTCTAAAATCTCTGATCATACACATAATTTCATAATTTGGGTTTGTAGCATCAACATCCTACAAGAAGACAAAGAGAATCATCATTTATTATAATTATAGTAATACAGCATTTGTTGCATTGGTGCTATATATAGTTTGAAAATTAAAATTAAACTAACAGATTATGTCACTTGCCCTAGCTCAGCTCAGACTCAAACTGAAGACGTGATATACTTTAGTTTCAGTTATGACTAGTCATATGCTTAGGAATCATTTTTAAATTAAAAATACAATGTTGTAGGTCTACACATATTGTTAATTCTAAACCAAACATTCCTTATTAAAGCCACCCTTGACATAATTCAAAAATTCATGTGCTATACATATACCTTAATTATTCTTAGAAAATGGAGCAAAAGAGAAATAGTATACTCATCTCTAGAAAAGCTGAAATTCTAGAAATATTCATTTAATTAGATTCTTCTTCCCAATTCTTAATCCAGTGATTCAGCAAAATAGAAATATGGATTCATTTAAGTTAATTTTCTATTTTTGCTGGCTCTCTTTAAAAAAAAACACACACAACTAAGGCAAGGTAAAACACTTCCAAATCAATAGGATATAGAATTTAAAGAAATCAAAAGCCAAGATAATTTTTAAAATCTTTAATATTCAAATTATTGGATACTGATTGCTATGGAGGAGAGACTGTTCTATGACACAACCACTTCCTGACCTTGCTTGACTGCTGCTGTCCCTCCTGCTAGATCCAAATAGCTCCTGCTAGACATAGGCCAGAAGAATGATGCTTCCCTTAAATCCTCTCAGAAACTGACTTCTCCCCTATGCCTAGGCATGCTGCCCTGGGGAAGTATGTAAGGCATTTCCTCCTCAACTGGGGCAAGTTACACCCCAGGACCCTTATCCATCCAGCCCTGTCCTATATAACACCTTAGCGCCTGCCACATGATGGATATCCATGTCTTCTTGCCACCAACTAAGGCCACCTCACATACATGTAAATTCCCTTAATAAAGGCTTTTCCAAAAAAGTATATATTTTCACTAATTTCAGAGAGGATGGGAGAGGGTGAGGGAGAGAAAAACATCAGTGAGAGAGAATCATTGATTGGCTGCCTCCTACACACCTCACACTGGGGATTGAGCCTGCAACCCCCCGTGGCCTGTGCCCTAACTGGGGATCGAACCACGACCTCCTGGTTCATAGGTTGACACTCAACCACTGAGCCACATGACCAGGCAATAAACTCTTTATATAATGATGGAGTTGGCAGCCTCTCTTTCTTTGGTTACTCAGCCCTGGAGAAAAACTTAACAACTGCAATTTACATTTTTGCTTCAAAACTGAGGAAATTCAGATTAACATATAGTAAATAGTAATCTACACTAATAAAAGAGAAATATGTAAATTGGCCATCACTCCGCTACACCACCCACCAATCATGGTGAGTATGCAAATTAACCCAACAAAGATGGCGGCAGCCACAGAGCTGGAGTGAGCAGGAGGCTTGGGTTGCTCCCAGCGATGGAGAAAGCCAAGCTTCCGCCTGCCCTGGCTGCCGCTGAAGGAGTGGCTGGGAGCCTGGGTTAGGGGCGACCCAGGCTTCCAGCCGGTCCTGGCCTCCACTCAAGAAGGGGCTGGAAAAAAAAAAGGAGGGGCTGGGAGCCTGGGCTGCCGGCAGGCATGGCCAGCCTGAAAATGGCCCTCAGCCCCTTACCCAGCTAGCCATACCCCCATGGGGTGAGGGTTCCCTCTGGGGGGCATGGCCAGCCTGCAAACAGCCATCAGTCCTTCACCCAGGCTGGCCAAACACCCCAGCAGGAACCCCCAGCCTGAAGCGGGTGTGGCCAGCTTGAAAACAGCCCTCACCCCCTCACCCAGGCTGGCAACGCCCCCCCCCCAGCGAGTACCCTTACCCCATGGGGGCATGGCTGGCCTGCAAACCACCACAGGCTCCTCGCCCAGGCCGCCCCACACACCAAGGCAACCCCCCACCCTGATCCGGGACGCCCTTCAGGGCAAACCAGCCAGCCCTCACCCATGCACCAGGCCTCTATACTAATAAAAGGGTATTATGATAATTAGACTGTGAGACCTTCCAGGAGACCTTCCGGACATTCTTCTGGACAAAGCCATGGTGGTGGGGCCGAGGTAGAGGCAGTTAGAGGCCAAGAGAGGACGGCAGTTGTGGGTGATCAGGCCGGTGGTGGTGGTGGGGGGAGGCGTTGGGGGTGATTAGGCCGGCGGTGGGTAGGGGGGAGGCAGTTGGGGGTGAGCAGACCAGCAGGGGAGCCAGTTGGGGGCGAGCAGGCTGTCAGTGGGGGTCAGTTGGGGTGATCAGGCTGGCAGGCAGAGTGGTTAGGGGCAATCAGGCAGGCAGGCAGCTGAGCGGTTAGGAGCCAGCAGTCCTGGACTGTGAGAGGGATGTCCGACTGCCAGTTTAGGCCCAATCCCTGTAAATCGGCAGTAGGACATCCTTCGAGGGCTCCCAGATTGAAGAGGGTGCAGGCTGGGCTGAGGAACACCCACCCCCTGTGCAGGAATTTCGTGCACCGGGCCACTAGTAGTTAATAATAGCCTCTCCCAGCCATGAGTAATAAATTATTGAACATTCTCAGAAATCACATTTTTTCATACAACATATGCAGATTTGCTTGGAATATAATTAAACTTAAAAACTGTTAATGAAACTTACTCCTAGGAATATTAACCAGCTATGTCAATTGAGAAGTACTATGTAAAGTGCAAATTAAGATACCACAAAGCTATGTGAAAATATTATGAAGTACCCACAGGAGACACCAGGTGGCATCTGTGCTAAGTATCAGTAGATCTAGCCCCCCCCCCCCCCCCGACCCCCCCCAATCACCAAATAATTTTTTGGAATCAGAATAAAAGAATATTTGACAGTTGTTGAAATGTATGTTACTTCTGATACTGATCAGTTATACAACTTATCTAGGACACATGACCAGATAAATTTTACATTTCTTCAGGACTGGGGTTTTTCCAGGACTTCAAATTTGGAGTCTGGGAACATATTCATGTCTACCTTACCATACATTTGCTTAAGCATAAAAAGCTCCCTCTCCATGTCTTGCTGATACTCTGGACCAGCATCAACAGCCCCTCCAGATGACTGTCGCTTAATTTTATATTCTCTAATCTTGTCCATGAAGAGTTTCTGTACAGGATCAAGTTCCTTACTAAATGCCACTGCTGTAACACCAATATTCCTCCTCAAATGGACTGAGATTGCAGATCGAATGACAGAAGAGAACCTGAAGAGCCTCTGAAGAATCATTGTGACTGTTACTTGCACTCAGCCCCGAGCTGCCAGAGCCCAGATCTAGCTCTTTTGTGTATTATTTATTTCAAAACCCAACTGGTCATTCTCAGATCACCTTCAGATAGAAGCTGATTTACTCAGGGTGAATATTATGCTGGTTCTACAATTCCCAAACATAACATCTTTATGAGTAAAAATTGTTTTCAAATGCCCTTAAGGGCACTTGAAAATACTCCTAAAAAAAAAAAAAAATCCTGATGTTTTATTACAGGAAACAAGTTCTGAGTATATCATATAAGCACAAGGGAGGAGTTTTACGAATAAAAACAGAATTTTTAATGTGAGAGACTTGTAAAGAGAAAAAAGATCAGTTCTCTATGCAATTTTTCCGATGCTAACAAAGTTTTGCTACTGGTAACACAAGAAGAGCACAACACAGTAACACTCTCAATATCTAGTAAAAATCAAAACACAAGAAATTTCCCCACTTTCAATGTGTTATGTTGACCTTATTATTGACCATGGAAAAATAATAATAAAATTTATAATGTAATCATGTGCTTTAACTGAATGTTCTTCCAAATGTAGTTTTAGGTGTTTTTAAAAAGTCAAAATCCTATTATTCTTATATTAGAATTCTGTAACACAATAGCTTATTAAAAATGGAACAAACTTTAGGACTAACACATAATCACTAAAACGTGAGAAGTACATGTATTAAAATCTGTTATAACTTATTTTCAGAAGAGTTTATATTATTCCTCAATATCAATTAAAGAACTATACTGAAATCTTTAAATGAACGCCTCAACTACTTTTTCCTAAGTCACTCACTTTCACGGACACAGTCTGACCTTCAGTTGGTACATATACAAAATATGTTTCAGGTTACAAACCTGGGCTCTTTTTTCTCTAAGTTCTTGTTGTTGTAGTCTCCTTTTCTCTCGTTTTTCTTGTAATTTTTCTACTTCTTTCACACAATTAGATTTTCTACGCGCTGAAAGAAAAAGATGAGCTGTAGAAGTATAGATTTCTTTTTAGAGTATTGTACTTATATACACACAATTGTATGTGTAATTTCATCACATACTAAAATAAAAGTACACAGTGACAAAGCATGCCTATAACAACTACATGAACTTTAGTTAATGAGCTGCTTTAACAAAACTAGGAACAGGACAATATACAAATAAGAGTCAAGAAAAATGACTCTAACGTATTGATACATGTCATCTCTTGGTTTAGAATCACAGATCTTTGAAGCAAGAAGCATAAGAATTTCTTCTATAAAGATGTCAAATTATCATCTGCCCAGAATTTAAAATTCAAAGCAACTGAAATACTTAAATTTTTCCACAGTGGTAAAATGAAATATGCAATCAAGTTCGCAATTAGACTGTTTACCATTTGGGGATATATAAAGATGACCAAGAGAGAATACATGTATGCCTAAAATGACTGAATCCTTGATACATGATTTACATACAAGGAGGTCCAAATTCCTTTTTTGCAGCTTGAACTGGAGATATATCTGAAACACTACCATTCTGTTGTGCAGAAGATGACTGTTCAGGAAGCTGACTAGGCCGTGCACGTGCAGAACCAACCACTGTAAGTAAAACAAAAATTTTAAATTCAGAACAGAAAATTAATAAAGGTGAACCTTGGTTAAAGGAACAGAGGTAACTGAAAAGAACTGATAAGTTAAAAGTTGCATTAGCAAATTGTCAGTTTTTCTACTTATGTGCACATAAACAGAATATATAATTATATTCAATAAACTGATAAGATAAGAGGTTTTTGTCATATGTGCAGACTTAGGTGCCATCAATGTAGTTTTAACTATAAAACTCAATCTGAATAATTTATATAAAAACCAAAGCCAAACTTAATTTTTACTAATCATTTAAAAATATAAGTGTACAAAATATAAATTTTAAATGCATTCTCATTTTGAAAACTTCAGAACTACGGAAAGTAAAAACTTAAGTCCTTTAACCTTCCCTATATTCCAAATCCAATTATTTGCTCCTCGAATACCCAAATCTTAAGCAGAGAGTTTCTTACTGTGAATGCTATAAATGTGGAAAAAAGCATTATAAATTAAATATAAGTATTACATTTTACAAAGATATATAAATTTTCACAAGACTCAAAGGATAGTGTGCATAGTACAGAACTTTCCCTCTACTTCCAATCTCTCCTCTAATACCTATGCCCATCCTTCCTCACTCATCCATACATATAGAGAAATATCACTATTAGAAAGTACCATTCTGAACTGCCGAATAGTAAATAAGAAATTACCTATGCTTTATACTTCCTGGCTGAAAGTATATGAAAGACCTGCCATTAACTAGAATTTATACCTGTTTAAGTTTTTTTTTAAGCTGACTCCAAAGATACCCATGACCCTTTTTGGAAGCCTGTTCGCCAAAAAATTATATAAAATGTCAAAATTTTGTGAAATTAATCAACAGACTACTTCCTCATTCCCTTTTTTGTCACAACACTACTCAAATCTGAAAATTATTGGGTAAATTAGATGACTCAAATATTGCATATATCATGGAGTTTTGTAAATTTATAAATTTTTTATATTATCAATATTATATTAGGAAATGAAGAAGATACCGATCTTAAAATTAGCCATGTAAAGTTTAAATAAATAATAAAGTCAAGGGTAATATTTGCCTTTTTTAAAAGAACATTTCTATTAGTTTATTAGAATTTATTTGAGCCAAACAAACATGCCTGGGAGCAGGATCTCAGCAGACTAAGAACAATGCTTCAAGGGTAATATTTAGTTTTGATTTACCTTGTCAGAGCCAATAGGCAAAATTAGTAATTTTTTACTTTACCTCTATTATCTCTTGGAGGAGGGTCATTCTTAATAGAAGCCACAGTTCGTCGATTCTATAAAAGAGAAATGTTCATTTAACTTTCCCTCTTTACTCCTCATCAATATATCATAATCAGTTTCCTTTAATTAAACAAACCTAGGCAGACATACAATAATTTAAAACTAAATGAAGAAAAACTGCAAATAATCTTCTAATGAATTACTGCTATTAATATTCAAGTTTATGAGTATTCTCTACCCCCAAAATATTCAGAAATAATGAGCCAGGTACTGCTCTATGGATTTTACATGTATTAATTCGCTTAATCTTCATAACAAAATTCACTTAATCTTCACAACAACCCTATGAGTTATGTAACAAATTTCATCTTTGGATGTCAGGGGGAAATTAATGAAATACTAATTTTAGACAACTTTACAGCCCATTGTTAAGCTGAAAGATCAAAATACTATGAGATGAACAGTTAGCTATACTAAAAGATTTCATAGACTTTCAAAGACTGCATAGATTAGGGAAGCAATTTTTTGGTCCTATTATTTATTTACCAAGACCTTCATTTTATTTACCTTAAAAAAAAAAAAAAGATGTGAAATAATGCAGTGGTTCTCAACGCTAACTGTACATTCAAATCACATGGGTATTTTTAAAAAGGTATTAATGCTAGAGTTCTTCCTTTAGATAAAACAATCTCTTAGAGCAGGTCTAGGAATCAGTAATTTAAAAAAATTTCCAGGTGATTCTAAGGCACTGCAAATGTTGCTTATGACAGATCCAGAAGTGTCAACTATGAAGATCCTCCAGGTTGTGAAGCCAAATAAGAAAAATAGTCTGTTTACAAATGGTAACTAATGACCTCTAAGCAGTGACTCTCAATATGCTGAAATCATATGAACTGAAAATCTGCCTCATGTTCATATGCATGATTTAAAAAGCAGGTTTTGATGATAATTGTTAAGCTTCTATGTATGTCTTCCCTGAAAGCGAGTTCCAATAGGGTTAAAGCCATGTCACATTCATCTTTATAGGTGACAAAATCAACATTGTAGAAAAATCAACAAATGCTTGTTGAGTCGAACACAAAAAACTGTAGATTCAACAACTTTGAAGGACTACCTACTTTAAGAAGAGTTGTATTTTGACCCAAAATTTTAACAGTGAGAAATTTCAATAGCAATGTAAAGGAATTATCTTTTAAAATAATAAAAATAACATGACCTTTTTTTTTATAAAGATAAAAACTGTTGGAGAGGATATAGCATATTTTAAAGCTATCTTCACTGATAAGATAACTGGAGTAAGACTTTATTATGAATAAAAACAGTCCTTCTTTATCATATCAAAGTCATTTGTATTCATTCAACAGATACTGATAAGCAAATTGTTTTGACCTGTAACTCCTGAGAAGCTATATAAGTCTTAGGAAAGACCCTAACCAGGCAAGGAGTTTATAGGATTTTTTAAAAATATTTTTAAAAATTGATTTCAGAGTAGGAAGGAGAGAGAAAGATAGAAACATCAATGATGAGAGACAATCATGGATCAGCTGCCTCTGGCACACTCCACACGGGAATCAAGCCCGCAACCCAGACATGTGCACTGACTGTACCCGAACCTTGACCTCCTTCCTGGTTCAGGTTGAAGCTCAACCATTAAATCATGCCTGCTGGGCAAGGATTTTATTTTATGACTAGAGGCCTGATGCATGAAATTTGTGTAAGAGTAGGCCTTCTTTCCCCGGGCTGCTGGCACTGGCTTCCCTTGTAGTCCCGGCTTCCTCTGGAAGGTCTTCTGAAAGAATGTCCAGTCTAATTAGCATATTATACTTTTATTATTACAGATTGTTGTAATTGTGAATTAGACAACCTCAATCCTTGAAAATATGTGGAGTGTGTATGTGTATATACATATTCATACACACACACACACACACACACACACACACACATATGTATATATGCATTTGAATGGCAGAAAGCAGTTTTAAAAAAAAACAAATACTTAAAAAATACTCCCACAGCATGCCAATTTCAAAACACACACACACACACAGAGCTCTGAATTTTCATCACTAACCTTTACAATTTTATTTACTTTGGCTGAGGATGTGGGAGGTGGAGGTGTTTCTGGACTGGGTTCAATTTCTTCATCAGGTACAAGGTCAGGGTTAAGTGAAAAGATGCTCTCCAAGTCAATCTGTTTTAAAAACCACATGTTTTTTCAGTGTATTTTGATAATTAAGACCTTATTTTTCAAAGAAACTTACAGAGAAGTTAAATAATTTTAGCCTAATGAATGGTACTACTTCAAAAGCTAGATTATCTAAAATTATAACCCACATTTATTTAAAGAATCTTTTTTTTGTTAATCCTCACCTGAAGCTATTTTTTACCATTGATTTTTAGAGTGGAAGGGAGGAAGGGAGACAGAAACACTGATGTGTGAGAGAGAGACAAACTGATGAGACAGAAACATCAATGTGAGAGCAACATGTTGCCTCCCACGTGTACCCCAATGAGGGCCAGGGATCGAACTTGCAACCTAGGTACATGCCTTTGACCAGGAATCAAATCCGAGACCTTTTGGTGTACAGGCTGACCACTGAAGCACACCAGCTAGGGCAGAAATCTCTCTGAAGATTGAATTTTGTGGTCTTAATTATATGTCCAATCACATAAGATATACAGGTGAAATCTACCTTTCTCTGAGTGAATTTTTTTAAACTAGTTGAATGTTTAAGGAATGACACACGTACTATATAAAAACTATGCATTTTTCTGTTTTGCTTTATATTAAAAAATGTAATAATTGGACTAAAAATAAGATTTAATTCAGTGATTGATCTTACCTCTTTGCCTTTTGTATCTCCATTTTCTATCCACTCAACAGTCACACTTTCATTATCTTCATTTAAAGATGTTACCATTGCTTGATGTATTCGGCCTAAGAAGGATAAAACACAATTTTTTAAAATGTCATAAATTACAGAATGCCTAACACTGTCAAACACAATTTTA